GAGTTTTTGTTAAAAACATCAGCTGCTTGATGCTTAACTTTTTTGTTTAACCTGCATTAACTGATTTTGTCCTCCCTGTGGGCTGTGGAAAAAAGCTGCACACACAACATGGCATATTATGACCAAGTTAAGTTGATATAGTGTTAGCTAACTGACGCTTATTTACGCATCCAGCAGATATAAAGCAACATTAGCTTTCAATTGGAGTTGTTTAAAGTGAACCAAAACAGTACAATTGCGGGTAATGGAACCAAAACAACAAGCTAAAAGACGCTTAAACGCTGTGTGGAGCTGAGTTGAACTGCAGAATCTGGTGATAATTATCTGTGAATCTGTCACTAAGAGTGACCCCTGTGTCACATACAAGCATTGATCCACTGTTAATACAAAAATATAAATAAAATGGCACTTTAAATAAACAAACAAAAAAAAGGTTTTATTGAAAAACTAATTCATATGTCTCAAAGTAAGGTGTCAACGAAAGTATCATTTTTATTAGCATCAAAAGTCAAGTATTGTATCAGCACTAGTATTGGAACATTTACCAGTCCTCCTCCTGAGGTGGTGTGAGAATTGGAAGCAGAAATAAAAACAGACTGCTCTCTGTTTGACGACAGATAAACGATTTCCTTTCTTTCTTGTTCCCGGAGATCTTTCACAACTACTAACCCTATCACACCAGACCTTCTTTGTATTCATGTATCAAGGGTACATAACAGACAGAAGACAGTGAAAGTGAGTCCAACTCTGACTTTGGGTTTTTTTATAATTCGAGGTGAGTTTAGTGCACAGTACGTACTGGTTGTGTATGATCCAGCGGGTCCTCATGAAGCCCTTTCTGGACCACTTGAACTGCAACAGAGACAAATTAGAGTGAGTCACTAAAAAGCAGTGAGCCGTGTCTTTGAAGGGCCAAACTGATAATCATTGATTCTTTCACATAATTTGTCTCATCTCCCTGTCAGAGCGGGCAGACAGCCCCTTCAGCCCCAGTAGACTCATTTGTCCCAACACCTCCCTTCGGCCCTTGTGTACCCCTCCCCACACCTGCACACACACATACACACACACACACACACACATAAATGTAAGCATACACAAATGCACACTCATGCATACATACATACATACACACACACTCACATCAGGCCAGAAATTCTTTGGGAATTTTTCTTTCTCCACTGTGGTGACCCCATCCAGAGAGCCCACGTTCTTGTTCTGTCCTGACACTGCTTTGAAATCCTTAACTGCGAGAGTGAGAGAGGGAGAGAGGGGGAGAGGGGTGACATGTAAAATAGTGGGAAAACATGCAAACAGCAATCAATAAACTGGTGTTAACCTCATCAGAGCGGCATACGTGATGAGGGGATCTATAAGCGAGCCATTAGACTGCGTTTGGTGAACAACAATCGGTTTGGGCCACACAGCGAGTGGCAGCTGCAGGATGTTTATGGTTCTTCCATAAGCTTTTCTGAGGAGCTTTTTCACGCCTAACGTGACTGGACTATGCAGCAGGAAAATAACAGCTCCACTTTAAATTCAGGTTCTTTGCAAATATCTGGCCAGGAGGGGTGGCCATCAAACTGTCGTTATACACAGTGAAACGTCCTGATATTAAAAAATGACAAGAATCTGGCCAATCATGTGCAACATTGCTCTTATGAGCCATTGCCAAAACAGTACAGGATGCAAGGGGAGTGGTTTATGTTGAGATCTAAAATCATCTCATTTCTTCAAGGAAAAAAAAGCTATTGGAATCCATCACCAGCTGACAAACAATAAAATGATAAAAATCAATGCAAATGCCATGCATAAGGAGTAAAGTTTTTACCATTAAAATCATACTGATAGATGTTTTTCAGAGTCTTGTGGATGAAGTACATGCTCCCCAAAGCCTGTGGAGAGAAATAAATAAAGATTTTACAATATCTAATAACAAAAACGTTTGAATATGTAAAATCGGTTTTAAAACGGAAACATCATAGGGCAGGAGTGTGCAGGTGTGAAGAGAAATTCATACTGAAACTACACTTTTAGTCGTTACAGGCACCTTTAGTTTCACACACTTGATGCAAAAAAACACGAGGAAATCACCTATACCTAAATATTGACATTGACACTTTAGAGTTCAATTCGAAATGTCGTCAAAAACTATAGAAATGTACCTTACATCTTTCAATTTTAACGCAACATTGAACTAAATAAAACTCTGATATTTAACATTGTTTATGGAATTTTTTATGAGCTCTGTCTGATCCATTTAGAGTGACTTCACAGCACCTAAACATCTAAACATGGTCACAAAAACAGGAGAAATCATCTCAACGCAACCTCAGAGATGATAAATTGAATTGTTCATTTCCCCATCATGTGAGCTGAATTGCAGGCTTCATATTGAACGATCCAGTATATTGTTACTCTCCCAAAGACACATGAAACTTTAAAGAATAGAGACGTTCAAAGTGAACACATAACTGCACAACACATCCACATACTGCCTCTCACACACACACTTCAGCACCCAATCATCCCTGACATGGGGCTGACAATTTTTAATGTACTAACTGCCTGCTCCACTGATCTGATTAATCATGCCCTGTGAGATCAATAAAGACAGAAAATTAAAACAATTTAAAAGGTATTAAGCAGTAGGCCTGCTGTCTGCCAACGCTGCCGCTTTGACTGGGGGCCGAAGAAAAATCAGCCAGCGCTCAGAGGGCTCGGGGCGTGACGGACCGCTGTGCAACCCCCCCCCACCTCCCCGACATACACAAACATCCAGCCGGAACATGAGAGATCTCTCCCTGAAGAGATCATTTATCTTCTGTGCCAAAGTCATCCTCATTTAATAAAATGGAAGTGTCTCCGTGGTCGGCTCCAGTGAGCGGCAATTAGCGACCAACTTGTCCAAACTGCAGTTAGAGCCAAGGTGCTGTTTGAACCGATTGTTAGCTTAATGCAAAATCTACAAGCTGAGTAAAGATAGTCCTGAGGAGCCAGTTCAAAGAAAGTTATATTGTAATTTTAGTTAACAACTAGAGCAAAATGAGGATGGGGATTCAAGGACTGTATAATTAGCTCAGGAAAACTGATCTAAATTTAGCCTAGTTTATGTTGGATCAGTACAATGTTATGTTTAAACAGTACTGGCAAAGCACACAGGCGCACACACACACACACTCAAACACAGATACACATTCTCCTCCACATACTCTGCCAAACACCTATCTTCATCAATCAGGTTTGTGCACAGTTTAATAAAAAAATATTGACTTACAAGTGATTTTTTATCAAAACACCATTTGTACTGGGAATGCATGCAAGTCTGCCCCCTCTACTCCTGCAGCCCCTCTGAAAGGAGAACCCCCAAACTCTCTCTTGGCCATATAACTGATGATCCGCAGCCAAGGGGAAACAAATTGAAAATCAATGCAGGTGGCACCGACGAAATGAGAATGAGGCATTAGGAGGGGTGGGGTGGGGTGGGATGAGGGGGGGCTAAAACCCTCTCAGGGCAAACAGTGGAGGGTGCGAACACTCGAGCGCAGGGGAAACTTAGTCCCAGCTGTCTCCCCCCCCACCTCACGTTTTATTTATCGTGCACAAATGGGCTGGGATCAATAGTTTTAATCTAGAGTTAAATGTATTGACTTTGGCCTGTCTCCCCCACACCTGGCCATTGACTTTCCCCTTTTTACTTCGCACACCTTCAGTCTACAGATGCAGCCATTGACCCCTACTGTCAGACGTCCAGTGTGAGGGTATCACATGGGAGGAGTAAGGGTTAATAGTTTAAGAAATACTCAGCCACTTTTCTCAACTGGGGAGGTGTTACTCTCAACCAGGGCAGGATTTCAGACAAACTAATTCTGACAAACTCATTATGAGCAGCTACAAACACAGTTCAGTCCCACTGGAAAAGACTGTGTGCGCTGCAGTGTGAGGGTCACTAAAAAAACAAGTTGGAAGCAAGGAATGGCTTTCACGTCGACAGGTGTGGAGATGGAGGCTGAGCCCATGACCCGAGCAGCGTCCCGCCAGTGCCAGCTCAGCCTTCAGCTACAGAGACACACTCTGGGTTCGGCGATAGATGACGATAAGAGACGCAGGTAGTGGCATGAGTGACTGAACAAACCTGTCTTTAAGAACATCTCCTCTGTCTGAGCCCATACTGTGTAGCACTACTACAACATTGTTTCCTACTAGATCTTTGTGATCTATGTTACTTGAAAAAGCCTTTGGTTTTTGTATGTCTGAGATTGTGCCATGATATATGGAACCGAACCCAACAGCACAAACACACACACACACACACACAGAAACCAGATTACAAGGAGCAAAAATGTGTGCACCTATCACAGTTCTGATGGTGTAAAATCTCACCAGTTCTTCTCCAATTTTTTGTTTACTGGTCTTAACAATCTGTTTGGTTAAAACATCCCCTGATAGCACTTATTCTAAAAAGAAACGTGTTGGTTGTCAGATTTGCTTTATAATAAGATGTAAGACTTTTAAAGCTGCAGTAGGTAACTTTTATAAAAATAATTTTTTGTCATATTTTCTGAAACTTTCATTATATGTTGACAGTACAACAGGAGACAGATAATCTGTGGAAACATTAGGTTCCTCTGGCTCCCCCTTGTGCTACTGGTTGTTATTGGCAAGAATCCACCGCAGCTGAACGAAAACAACCAATCAGTGCCAAGAAAAACAAGTGATTGTTGGGTCACATTCGCAGGTCGTCAAATATCTGTTGCTTCGGGACCTGGGAATGAGACTCAACTATCTAAAACTATCTTCCTTGGTCATTTTTAAAAAAGTGAATTATTGCAGCTTTAACTCTAATCTCACTGATTTTTTATGTTTCTATCACACTGAATTCTTATTTTGCAAAAAATAACACTAAAATGAAATAAACTAACCCCACTCCTATTAAGAAATGGTCTTCCACGACTTTCCAGGAAGGGTTTTTTTGCGGTGTGTTGGATGTTCGCTTTCTGGACGGACTACAGTTTTCCACAGTAACATTAATTTGGCAAAAGAACAACACAAAATTTCCAGGACAACATAGATAACTTCCAGGATATTTGGTCATTTAATCACTTTTCAGGTGTTTTCTATGACTGGAAAACTAAACTCTAAATTCCAGGTTTTTCCAGGACATGTGGGAACCCTGTAAACTCTAATAATATACAAAAACTAATAGATTATGGGCATGTACGAACTGAATCCATCTTGATCAACCTCTCATTCATCTCATGCTGTCAGTTGTTGAGGGAAACTGAAACCCTACCTTTAAATTGATGAAATAAACAAGTGTGAACAAAGCCAGCAGTGCAATGACTGATGCATATGTGCAGTACAAAGGACTTCTGACATGGCCTAAAAATGCAGTCAATCCAAAATGTGCATTACAATGTATAGTAAAAACTAAATAAATGCCATTTTCTGATGCTCCATGGGGGTCTACAAACTCTGGCTTTCCCTTAAGTGTTGTCCAGCTCCTGCTTTTCACTCAACGCCTCCCTCTGAGCACTAATATGGAGCAGGGCCCCATCTAGTGGAAGAACATGTGAACTACTCTGACAGAGAAGTTTGTGTGTTTCTTACTGTGAAGCTGTCTTCTGCTTGGAACTGGTTGTCCACATAGATGCAGACCCTGTTGTAGTCTTTCATTTCCTCACTGGACTCAATGCTCCTGGAAACAACAGAGCACAGCAGCATTAGGCAACAGAGTGAAAAAAGCTTCCCTTCCCTCTGACGTAGTGCTGGAGAGATAAGTCGATTAACTGATTAGTCGTTGGACAGATTCATTGGCAAGAGTTTTGATAGCCAAGTTTTTTTTTGGTTTTTTTTAAGCAAAAATGTCATATATTTTCTGGTTCCAGCATCTGAAATGTGAATGTTTGTTGGTTTTCTTAATCTTCAGTGATTGTAATCAGAATATGTTTAGGTTTGGTCTAAATATGTCAACTTGGGCTTTGGGGAAACTGTGAGAGAATGTTTGTTTTTTGACATTTTATAAATGCTTGACTCAGTGGTT